TCATTGATCTCAAGGCTATCACAAGGCCTCCCCTCCTCCTCCAAATGGGACAAGTGGTCCGCCGCTTGGTTCTCACTACCTTCCGGTCCATAAGTTCTAGATCAAACTCTTGAAGTAGTAACACCCATCGCATCAATCTTGCCTTGGAGTCTTTCTTTGTCATCAAGTACCTAAGAGCGGCATGATCGGTGTGCACTATGACCTTGGCCCCCATAAGATACGACCGAAACTTTTCCATTGCAAATACTATAGCCAACAATTCTTTTTCGGTAACCGTGTAGTTCCTTTGAGCCTCATTCATGGTTTTGCTTGCGTAGTATACCGGATGAAACATCTTGTTAACCTTTTGACCCAAGACAGCCCCAACCACAACGTCACTTGCATCACACATGAGCTCGAAAGGCAAGCTCCAATTTGGTGCGGTAATGATTGGGGTAGTGGTCAACTTAAGCTTGAGAAGCTCAAATGATTGCATACATCCCTCATCGAACACAAACTTTGCATCCTTTTCTAGTAGCTCAAATGATTGCATACATTAGCTGGCTTTATTTTACAAAGAGGTTTGCTGTAACAAAGCTAAAACTATTTCTGCCTATAGGAAGACTCCTTAACTATCACATGAATTTCCAAGCCTTTAACATTTTTGTGATCTGGACTACAGCGTACAGACCTCAACACCGATTACATGGGTGTTTACAGGTATGCCTTAGGACTGCAGAGGTTCAAAATAAAGAATTGTTCATATTCAAGCTAGTTTTAGATCGAATCTAAATGCACATGACTTAGAACTTAAGAACTTGTTTTGGTTGACTTCCTCGCTTCCCCATAGCCTTTTCAAGAGCTGAATGAAAATCATCAAAAGGTGCCACTTCCAACCTGTATAAATATGACGGAATATAACATCAGAGCCCTGCATCAAGATAAAATTACTTGCAGTTCGTGGTAACATTGTGAAAGAAGCAGCTCCAAAAAAACCTTGAAAAAAATATAACCTCCTCCCTTAGGTCATAAAACTAAATACGTCCTGATCATTAGGTTAACTATTGACTTCATCACCCACTATCATTTATCCAACAGTCAGCAAGCCACAAACATTTTCAACTCTTTAGAATTGATTTATCATTTTCAATAAAATTCTAGTACCTACAAAATTTCCAGAATTTCTTTCACAAGGACACGATGACATCAAGTGAGAGACAGGGGTCATACTCATATTTCAATTTCCCATCACGACATAGGCCCAAAAGATAATTTATCATGGATCGGCACTCTTCAGCTTTGTCTGAACTCATCCACCTCTGTAGCCAGAATCCTGTCAAGGCAAGCTCCTGAAAATATAGAAGCAATGACAGTTCAGTGTTCTTTTCCCTCACAAGCACATACTAACACACAGCTCACTGGGTTTCCATAATAAATTTTTACAGGTCTTAAATGCACATACTTGAAGCCCTTATTTGATCCAAACTCCCCAACAACAATTAAATATTCTCAGTTATCAATCATGCATTGAATGGATCACTCATTGAGGTTTGCTTGCTGTTAGAGTGTCTCAGAGTTTTATTGTCACATTATAGCCCTCACTTTGTTAACGCTCATTCAGGTATAATTGAAGTAGCTCCATCATAGATACACTTTTTCAGAGGAAAAACACTAAAGTGTGATGCTTGAAGCTTGCCTTGAATATAAAAGATGAAGTAGATACAGTTATAGGTCTCTTTGACATCCCCCCATATGTAACCATAGTTCCACCCTGCCTGCAAAAAACATACTATGCTTTTAAATCTGAAAAGTTGAACTGGATAGAAAATAATATTAAGAATACCATCTTACTTCAGGAATTTGAGGACTAGTGAAGCGGCATTGCCACCAACACAGTTAAAGCCCAAAGCAGGTTCAGATATATTGCCCTACACCATTAATGATAATATATGGTTAGAAAGGAAAATACCAACAAGAAAGAACATCTGAGAGAAGTTAACTATTTTAGAACAATGCTCCAACACATTGAAGAGGTATAAAGTTGGAAAAAGGGGATGGGCCGAGAGGAAACTAAAAATTGAATGGGAAATGACCTATAGAAAATTGCAGTGTAAACAAGACTATATAAGTCATTATAAACCTAAAATGGCTGTTGATTGATACCAGGAGACCTCTGACATTCTTCACTTCCAGTTGGCTTTCAGTATACACTTCATCAGCACCTAGTTTCTTGAGATTTTCTTTTGCCTCATCTGATCCTGCCCTGAGAAAGCATTAGGTTTGTGATCTTGTGCATATGTCATGCATTGCAATTTTCAATAAATTAATAGGATCTAATATGTTTATTAATAAAAAATGGACCAAGTACGGTACATCATACGTATATTAATGATAAAATTATTAACTGAGACCTGATTGGTGTGTAATTCGTTACTTGAGTTTCATTGAGAAAAGCTCTCAAAAAAAATGAACAAAATTTATGTGGACACAGTTTGTTTGGACGTGGACTCATACTCCCAGTGGAAGAGCAATTCCCAGGCAATCCATGTTAAATTCCAAACATAAGGGCACTTTGGCAGCAATGGAAGGGGAAAACTTAGAATCAACATATGATACCACAACAGTAATTTTTTTTCTTGTCACTATAGAGAGAAATTACAGATGTAAGTAGCAAGACATCTACTTTAAGCAAATTTGAACTTTAACAAGAAGTCGTCCTTTCTTTTCTGGAAAAGCACAAGTATCTTTGTAGAGAAGTGGCATGTAGCTAAAGGAAGCAAGATTTTCACACCAGAGAATTAGACTGTGCTCTGAACAATTATTTTGGGAAATAAGATAACTGAAAATACACCAAGACCAAAACATATTTGCAACAGAAGTAAACTCCACCTGTCTCTAATGATATTGACGCTATGAATCCCACGAAGTCGAGCTAGTTGAATAACACATTGCCCCACCATGCTTGTAGCACCATTTTGTACAATAGTGTCCCCTGCTTATGAAAATATTAGCAAGGAATGGAAGCAAGCACTAACCATATTATTAAGTACCGGACAACCTGGTTTTAGTGTCACAAAGTCCTCAAGCATTCTCAAGGCAGTCAAAGGATTAACAGTAACAGTCGCAGCATACTCCATCGGGGTGCTTTTATCAATTTTATGCCAGACAGTTTGTTCTTTTACGACATAGGTCTGCCATGTCCCTGCATGAAAACATTATTGTGGTGATGCATATGGAATACCACANCAAAAACATTTTTGTGGTGAATACCACATTAAGTGCCTTGATTGGGTCTTAAGTCTACTAAGGCTAATAAGGTATTCTTAGGGTTCACAACTTGATCTTTTGACAAGAGAATTTTACCTGAAGAAGGTGGGGAAGGGATAACCCAATCTCCAGTGGAAAGACCCTTAACTGCAGAGCCAACAGCATGCACTTCTCCAACCCCTTCATATCCCCCAACTGCAGGCATTGGTGGTCGGACAGGATAAACTCCTGCGATACAACAGAATTTGTACAACTATTGTGAAATAATGTTCCTTTATGAGAAAGATTAGTCTTGAAAATGACAAAAAACAATGGCTAAAGCAGGTTTTTCCATTAAGAGGTTGCGTTTCGCAACTTGAAGTTACGTATTTAGTCCTTATCTCGGATTGAGGCATAATTGATGGATTGAATGAATGAAAGAAACAAACACCTTTAGTACAAGGAGGCATCACTTGGAGAAAAGTAAGATGCACAAAGAAAAGCAAAATATTGCCTCTCCCCACTCCTCCCCTAGTCAAAAAGTGGATAAATTTTGAAACAAATAGAATTACCGAAACCTACTTCTGTCCAAATACAGTCCGGGCCTTGGGCAAGTTGAGATCTTAGAAACATCTATTATTCTCTTTTAGCACAATGCACCAAAGTGCATAATATCCAATGTATTGGGTGACATATATTTCAAAGTAATGAGAACAACTTGATTTCTACTACTTCCTCCATTTCAATTTATAGTTTGACTTAGCACGGAGTTTAATAAAAAAAGAAAAACAATTGGTACTTGTGGCCTTAAACATGCCATGAGATTTTTGTGACTACAAAAGCATAGCAACAACAACAACAACAACAACAACAACCCAGTGTAATCCCACAAGTGGGGTTGGGGGAGGGTAGGATGTACGCAGCCTTACCCCTACCCTGGAAGGGCAGAGAGACTGTTTCCGATAGACCTTCTGCTAAAGAAGATGGAAGAAGCACTGATAACAAGTAATAGCAAGACAATATATTTAGAAAACTAAATCGAAAATAGCAATAGAATATGAAAGAAGTACCGATAGCAAGTAATAACAAGACAATATATTTAGAAAACTAAATCCAAGATAACAATGAGAATATGAAAGAAGTATTGCTAGCAAACTAAGTAAGTACTGATGGTAAGTAATAACAGAACAAGATATGTGATAATAGCAAACTAAGGATAAAAGGGTACTATACTAACACTAATGCTATCGAACTAATGAAGAGAAAGGAAAACGCACGACTACCTACTAACCTTCTACCCTAATCTTCAACCTCCACACCCGTCTATCCAGGGTCATGTCCTCGGTTGGCTCAAGTTGCGCCATGTCCCGCCTGATCACCTCTCCCCAAGACTTCTTTGGCCTACCTCTACCTTCCTCTTACTTCCAAATGCCTTCCTCTCACACCTCCTGACTGGGGCATCTGTGCTTCTCCTTTTAACATGCCCGAACTATCTCAACCTCGTCTCTCGCATCTTTTCCTCCACAAGAGCCATTCCCACCTTGTCCAAAATAACTTCATTCCGAATTCTATCCAACCTAGTATGCCCACACATCCTCATTTCAGCTACTTTCATCTGCTGGACATGGGATTCTTGACTGGCCAGCACTCTGCCCATACAACATAGTCGGTCTAACCACTACCTTGTAGAACTTACTCTTAAGTCTCAACGGCACATTCTTATCGCAAAGACACCGGAAGCGAGCCTCCACTTCATCCACCCTGTTCCGATACGATGTGTGATATCTTTATCAATCTCCCCATCATTCTGAATTATAGACCCCAGATACTTGAAACTTTCTCTCCTGGGAATGATTTGCGTATCAAGCCTCACAAGTCACATCCCCGTCCGCTTCTTGGGTAACACCGTTGAACTTGCACTCCAAGTATTCTGTCATGGTCCTAGTCAACTTGAAACCCTTAAACTCAAGGGTATGTCTCCAAACCTCCAGCCTCTCGTTAACACCACCTCGCGTCTCATCAATCAAGACTATGTCATCTGCAAATAACAAGCACCAAGGCACCTCCCCTTGAATGTGTCGCGTCAATGCGTCCATTGCCAAGGAAAACAAAAACGGACTAAGTGTTGATCCCTGATGCAACCCCATCTCAACCGGAAAGTATTCAGAGTCTTCTCCTGCTGTCCTAACCCGTGTCTTAGCTCTATCATACATGTCCTGGATCACTCTAATATACGTTACAGACACTCCTTTAGCCTCCAAATATCTCCATAAAATCTCTCTCGGGGACTTTGTCATAGGCTTTCTCTAGGTCAATGAACACCATAAACAAGTCCTTCTTCATCGTCCTATATTGCTCTACCAATCTCCTCACAATGTAAATGGCTTCAGTAGTCGACCGTTACGGCATGAAACCAAACTGGTTCTCGAAAATGGACACATTCCTCCTCATCCTCCATTCTATCACCCTCTCCCACACTTTCATCGTATCGCTTAAAAACTTGATGCCCCTATAGTTGTTGCAGTTTTGGATATCCCCATTGTTTTTGTACAGCGGAATCATCGAACTCCACCTCCACTCTTTCAGCATCTTCTTCGTCCTAAAAATGACGTTAAACAACCTAGAGAGCCATTCCAATCCCGCCTTACCCACGCTCTTCAAAAATTTCACAGGGTTTTTTTCTGGCGTGGTCGCTCTACCCCTACCCATCCTGCGCATAGCCCCTACAACCTCCCTCACTCGTATGCGTCTACAGTACCCAAAATCTCGATGTTACTCTGAGTACTCCAACTCACCCAGCACAATGCTCCTATCTCCCTCTTCATTCAAGAGTTTATGGAAGACTGCCATCTCTGCCTAATTTGTGCCCCCTCCAACAAAACTCTACCCTGCTCGTCTTTTATGCACCTCACTTGGTCCGGATAACGAGCCTTCCTCTCTCTCACTTTCGCCGGCCTGTATAACATCTTTTCCCCGCCTTTATCCCCAATTTATTTATATAAACGACCAAATGCCGCGGTCTTAGCCACACTAATCGCTAACTTTCTAAATAGAGGCGGATGTAGCATACTGGTATGGGGTGCATCTAAACCCAGTACTTTCGCTGTGGAGCACAGATTTATGTATAAAAGTTCATTAAAGTTGCAACAAATAGTAAATATGAACTTATATTAAAAATACAATAGGTTCAATGCTAAGAATCTTAAAATTGAACATTTTGGATCCACCTTTGTAGAAAGGTCATTCTCATACTAATAAGAAAATAATGACACATAAATTAGAATGGAGGAAGTATAGGACAATACATTGGGATACTTGTACCCAACCAACGGACAACAGTAAATATAACTTCGTATTTGGGGTCAAACTCCAACTGGACACAAACACAAGTAGAACAGTACTCGAACACTTGTTAAGACCATCATTAGGAATATAGTTTGAAGAAGAAAATGGACATGTTTCCAAAACTGAAATATTCTACAATTGAAAAATAAAAAAATTGTGAATAGAGAGCTAAAACTTCAAAAAATCGAACCTTCAATTCTATTAATATCAGAAGGATTGATCGGAGCCGCAAGCATTCTAACACACACATCATTCTCTTTAATTTCCACCGGTGGAAGCTCCGTTACTCTGCAACACACACACACACACACACAAACATATAAGCTTACAAATAGTAGTAGTAAATTGAAGAGAACTTAGTTAATTACCGAGTGACAATATCAGGAGAGCCGTGTTGATCGTAGACAACAGCCTTAGAAGGCGGCGATGTGGCGGAGGAATAAGCTCGCACGGCGGAGGTAAGAGTACGAGAACGGAGGAGGAGTTGCGAGTGTGGTGACCATGCTGAAACTCCGTGTACGAGGGCTTTGAGGGATACAATCCTCGTAGTCGCCATTTACGGGACATTACAAAATGAGCTGCTATTTGACTTCGGATGACCTGCTAAACGACGCCGTTATTAGGTCGCCGAACCCACCCGACTATGCTATGACAAATTTTTTTAATAGGACGGCTTAGACTATAAATTTAATTATGGGTGTCTAACGGGCGGGCTGGACGGAAAAAAATCAGCCCGTCCGTTTAACTTTGCGGACTGTTAGCGAGCTGAGTTAGTGAGCTGTATTTTTTTGGATTTTTTTTTGTCCGTCCGGGTTCGGGATTAGCGGGTTGTTAGCGGGCCGTGAATTTTTTTTTTTTAAAGTAAATTTTATTTTTTTTATTCAATGTTATTGATACTTAAGTGTTTGCAAATTTTTAAGGCTTACAATTAAACTTTGAAGTTTAAAATTTTAAATTTGAAATTTGAAAGTAAGTGGCTACAAAAAATTATTTAATAAGACCAATAGGCAATATGTAAGGATAAAGCTCCGAAGACTTTCATTTGATATTTTTATTGAATAATATATAATACTTCAAATTAAGTTGCAAATTCTTTTTTGATTTTGTTATTTTTGAACTTGCAAATTAAAAGTTTACAACAATTATAAAAAAAAAAAAATAGTACATCACATGCTTTGCATCATTTTTGTAAGTTCATCCATGTCAACATGAGATTCTTGGTTTCCGGCATTGGTTGAATCAGAACCATAAACCATTATATCTCTAATTTCTTGGTCCTCCGCTTCATATACCTCGTTACGCCCTTGATTTCGTCGTTCTGATCTTATTCAATCTCTGAAGCACACTAGAATTTTTAAAGCATTGCTACCCAATGAATGACGGGTATCTCCTAGTTGCTGCCTTGCTTGGCTAAATGCGTTCTCTGATGCGACTGTTGAAATCGGCACATTTAGCACGTCTCGAGCCATGGCCGAAAGAACAGAAAATTGATTTGAGTTACTCCTCCACCAACTCAGTGGTAGAAATTCCTTTGTGCGGGGCTCTGCTGACTTTTGCAAGTAGAATTGAAGTTCATCAATATTCCTGCTACTTGTTTGTTGGTGCTCTCCTATTGTAGACCAAATCAAATAATCTTCAACACCATCATTATCATCCAAAGCACTAGTCCTAGATGTTGAAACTGAACTTGAAGGAATATTTGCATCTACAACAGAAGAAGCATCAACAATGTTAGCATAATAATTATATAATGTTTCTAAATGTTTGTGTAGATCAGAAATACAAGTGTCAATATCAGAAGTTTCAGTTGGTCCAATATCCATATAAGAATATAAAGCAGTGATTAATTGGCGACAAGTGGCCATTTTGATAGAAGGGTTTAAAATAGCACCAATTAGGTAAATAGGGGAATTGGGTAAAAATATTTTTTAAACTTATCTAGCATAGATTCAGCAATAGAAGTATATCCTTCTTTCTTCTTCAAATTATGTAGTAAAAGAGAAATTTCAGCAATATGAACTAAACTATTTGCAATAGTAGGATAATAAGCTCTAGAAAATTCAAGTGTAGCCACATAAAATTTTTGTAAAAACTTTACAACATCTTCAATGACATCCCAAGTTCTAGATGTTAATAAACGGCTAGGATCGGTACAATGAGAATTAGCAACTTCAGTTATAGGCATTCTATATTTATAACAACATTTTAAGAATATATAAGTATAATTCCACCTAATAACTATTTCTTCATGCATGAGTCTTGGTTTTAGTCCATAGTGTACACATTTTTCTTTAAATGCATTTAATCTAGCACTTCTATTATTTCCTTGAATTACACCAATAGCTCTTCTAACTAAAGTGATATCATCTCTAAATAATTCAAGGCCACTCTTCACAATCAAATTATAAATATGGCATGCACATCTAACATGAAATATTTCAGGAAGTGATGAGTGTAGATGCAATTTTAATATTGTAATAGCAGCATTGTTGTTAGAAGCATTATCAAATGACACACACAACTTTTTCTGCAAGATCATAAAATATAGCAATTTCATGGATAGTATTACTTATAAATGCACCAGTATGACTTTGATCTTCATCATATTTAAAAGCAATAATACGTATTTGCATACAAAAATTACCATCTATCTAATGGCATGTAACAGTCAAATAATCATTACCATTTACAGCACGACCAATATCAGAAGTAAGAGAAATATTTGATAAAACTTGAAATAATAAGTAATTGAGAATTTAAGAACAATAATCAATAATATCAAGAAAGAATTAGAGTAGTAAGAGAATGAATTGTGAGGAAAAATGAAGAAGAAGGGGGGCTATTTATAGTTTTTAAAAGGTTAAAATTATAATTTATCAAATACTAGGAGTGTGGGGGCTATTTTCTTAAGGGGTAGGCCGAAATGGCCATTTCTGCAAAAAAGGGCCGTTGGCCAACGGTCATATTTGAATTTGACCGTTGGCAATGGTTAAAAAAAATAAAATAAATAATAATAATAATAATAAAAAAACGTAAAAAATCGGACTGAACCGGGCTGTAGCCCGTTAACAACCCGTTAACGGGTTAACGGGCTTAGCGGGTTCCGGTGTACCGGTATCAAAAAATTATTCGTTTGAAACCCGCTCCCCGCCCAACCCGTCCCAGCCCGCCCCCCACGCTATAGTACCGGACTGACCCGGGTTGTAAACGGGTCAGTCCGACCCGATTAACAGGTATAAATTTTATTTATTCCTATGAAAATAAAGATAATATAATATCTTCCTGTAATTTAAAAGGAAATAGTATTAGTTGAGAGAGGGATACCACACTCTTTAATTTTCTAGAACACTTGATTTTTTAATCTTAATTACATAAATTACCCTCTTGCTCACTTTGTAGTGCGTTGTGTTCAACGACCCCAAAATGGTGAAATCCCAAACTTCGTTAAACGGGATTGTCACGATCCAATTTTCACTATAGACCGTGATGGCGTCTAATATCGTCGTTAGACAAGTCAACGATGAATTATCCTTTTAATTTCTCATTTTAATATTTTTAAACTCTTTGATTTTTATTTAATGCGGAAACAAATAGTAAGTGAGCATGGTAATGTAAAGCATAAACTAAACCGGAAAGTAAGATAGTGAATTAGATAATCAAAACCCATGAGTGTTTACTAAAATCCCCAAAATCCGATGTCACAAGCGCACGAGCATCTAATAGAATATACAAAAACCCTCTAAGAACTACTATCTAAAACAAAGTAGACACAAATGATAAAAACATAACAAGAGAAGGCTTCGAGTGCTGCAGAACGGAGCATGGGAAAGCAGCTCACCACTAAGCCTCCGGGTAGTGCGGATCCGCGCCCGATCGAACTCCAGGTGCACCTCCCTCAGAACCTACACAATATGTGTAGAAATGTAGCGTAAATACATAAACATGTACCCAATAAGTATCTAGTCTAACCTTGAAGAAGTAGTGACGAGGGTCGACTTCGACACTTGCTAGTGGGCAATATACATAATACACAAGATTATTTAATACGCATGGAATATAACATCAATGATGGAATAAGAGGCAATAATTTAGTGACAATTTATCAAAATAACAAGTGGAAGTCTCCCAAGTATCACAATTAAATATGTATTTATAAATCCTCAAGTCATGAAAGACATATCAAGTGTAATCGGACTTCGAGTGACAACACACACGAGTTATGCCGAGGTCGTACGACCCGA